TCCCTCTCCACTAGCCTGCAGGGAATGAAAGAAGCAAGGCCCAGAAAGGGACAGACACGTGGCTGCTGTTTTGTTTCACTGTTTTGCCCAGCCGCGCTCTGGACCCTACACCACGGGTCTCGAACTGCTCTCTGTAGAAACTAAAACTACCAGCCACCTGTGGTCTCTAATTCCCTAGCACCCTGAGCCTTCAGGACTCACCAACCAGATGCACTGACTTACAATTTAAAAACCAGAACTTGTGCTGCAAAAGAGCAGAGCACCTCCCTGCTGAGCCCCCAGGGCAGCGGTACCGGGTGCCCGGCGCTGGGGTGCATGTGGGACCTGCTGGTCCTGCTGCGCCTGCAGCTGTTTGCACCGCTTACCTCCCGGGTCATCCGAGAGTATCGATCCGGTCTGCATGCCACAAGCCCGGGGCTCCAGCTCACTGGCGGGTTCATTAGTCACCCAACATTCTTTGAATGCCATTTTGCATATCTATTCTTTGAACATCCTCTCCTGCCTAAGTTAACCTGAGTTTGTTTCTGATGCCCGCAGCTAAGAATGTTGCCTTATATAGAAATTGGTGCCAGGAGCGGTTGCAGGCAGTAGACGTTGGAGGAAATTCAGAGAAGCTGGGGCGGGTTATCTGGGCTGCTTGGGCTGGAGTCGGTAACAGCCCCGCACGTGGTAAGGGCTCTGGCATCCTCCAGCATGCAGAGGGGAACAGGAATTCAGACTCGCCGCCGGGAACCACCTGGAACCCAGGCGAGCCCGCTGAAGGCGCAGCTTTGAGACCGAGACGCCAGCCTTCGGGGAGAATGACAAGACCGAGGAATTAAGCGGTGGGTGTGGGCGGTGACTCCCACGGGGCCGGCGCGTTGGAGAAACAAGGCCATCTCCTAAATCCCAAATCCTTGTCTCAAGGCCCAGCGAAGAAACTGAGGACTTCTGTGCTTGCTAAAAGTACCTCTTCATTCTCGAGTCTCCAGGGATGAGAAAGCCAACGATGAAACTCAAATCCGAGCCTGCAGGGTGGCGAGTGACCTCACTGGCCCAGGCCACGGCCTCGCCAGCCCTGCCCTGTGGGGGCGAGACTGTCGAATAGGAACAAGTGAGCTCAGCGTTTGCAAGGAACCACGGGGAAGGGTTTGGGGTGATGTTGAACCTTCTGAACCCCTGATCCCCACCCAGCCCCCCATTGCAGGCTGAAGCAACCTCTTTTAACTGTCTGATGAGGCTGGTGTCCTTCCTCAACAGGGTCCCTGGAACCCCCCCCATGCCCCATTGCACCTCAGTGTCACCAGGCCGCAGCTGGGTCCCCAGAGAGCCAAAGGGAAGGTGCAGGGTTGAATGTCAACCCAAAGCAAGCTGTTCTGTTTCATATCACCAGAAACCCGAGGACGGTGTGTGAATGGCCGGACTGAGCGGAACTCACTCACGCAGGGCACCAGCCGGCAGCGCTGAGTCAGGGTGCCAGCCTCAGGGCCAGGGCTGGCTCTCGTGGTTCTCAGGGCTGGCCTGTCAGTTGGCACAGGGCGCGGGGGGGTCCGACTCAGCAGTGACCCACGCCCAGCGAAGGGCAGATTACGCCAGTTCTGAGTAGAATGTAGAGACAGGGAGGATTAACTACAGGTGACCACCGCATCTGACCGCAGCCCCCAAGAGAGCCCAGAACACCATCGTCCCTTCACCGAGGTGGCTCAAGCCACCTTGCTGAGACAGCCCAACAGTCTTCCAGAAGCCTCGGTGTAAGGTGGGAGGTGTCTGGGGTGCCAACTAAGACCCCTGGGAGGGCAAGGTCTCCCCGGCAGCAGCGACTGCCCGGGGCTGACAAGCAGGAGTCGGTGGAGCGAGCAGATCGCAAGGTCCACAGGGCAAAATGGATGAGCAACTCACGAGGACCCGAAAGGTCTGGGGAGCAGAGCTCTGACTTGAGTCCCCAGATGCAGCCCCTGGTGCACCCCCCGTCCCAGACCGCAGTCCGCGTACAGACGCAGAGAGCCCGAAGTGAGGAAGGAAGCTGCCGCTACACTCGGGGTGTGGGCCCTGAAGCCCCGAGGGGGCTGCAGCCGCTTACAGGGGGACTGTGCACCCCGGCAGCCGGCCGGGGAGGGCCTCGCCGAGTCCCCATTTCCTCCTCTGTGGCACGGGGACAATAATATCTGCCTGAGAGGATTGCGGGTTAATTGAGTGGAATAACGGGGCAGTGCCTGGAATACCAATGCACGCGCTGGCTGCAGCTGAACTTTCAATCCCTCGGTGATTTCGTGCTCATTCTTTCCATTGTTTCCATCGCCGCTCCACCGTACCGTGATCAGCCCTCTGCTGGGGGCTGAGCGTTAAAAAATAGCCCCGACCGTGGACGGCGGGTGCAGCGTGCAGCGGCCCTGCTGGGGGCGTGCGGCAGGAGGCAGCCGGGCTGGGGCGAGCCCCTGCTGCGTGTTACCGCTCTCTGCTGCGGCACCAGGCTCCCGGGAAGTCGGGCAAGTGCAGGGCTTGGGACGTGGTGACAGTGGTAACTAGAGAGGGGAGGAAGGAGGGGGACGGATGGGTGGACAAGTGGATGGACGGGCGGGTGGACAGACGGGAGGATGGACTGATGAACGAATGGATGGATGGAGAGGTGTGGACACGGAGGGAGATAACGGCTGGATGGACTTAGGAAGTGGACCCGACGTGACCCCAACCCTGGAGGGCCTTCCAATCCAGGCAGACGCAGTGCTGAGCAGGGAGAGCGCTGAGAGGCTGGACTGTCTGGTCTGCAGTCAGAGACGCCCCCCGAGTCTGCGACTCTCCAGCCCCATCGCCGTGTGTGTGTGTGTGTGTGTGTGTGTGTGTGTGTGCGTGTGTGTGATGAAGGCCAGCCAGGCGAGCTGCAGCTCAACGCCAGCACACCTGCTTGCTCCAGTAACAGACCTTTATGACCATTCATCCAATAAGCATTTACCGAACACCTACTATGTGCCTATTCAAGGCTCTGGGGGCGGAGCCGTGAACAAAATAACTGCCGGTGGGGTTGGCGTGGGGGAGACAAGCCCGACGAGGATAAGTGGGGTGGGGGTGACTGAAGCAGGGCGATGAGGGGTCTCTGCAGCAGGGTGTGCTCGTCTGGGAAGGTTGGACAACGGGGCCGGACACCCTGCTGGGCTGACACCTACTGGGAGGCCTGAAGGAAGGGCAGGGGCCAGTCGGGCCAGGACCTGGAAGGAGCGATGGCCTTCCTGGGTCCCACAGCGACTCGGAGGCTCAACTGGGACAAGAAGTCAGGTTGGGCTCAGGTACTGGGGGTCTGGGGCTCCTGGGCCCCTGGTCTGGCCTGACACGGAGCACAAGCACAGCAGACACCATGTCGGAGGAGGGGATCTTGCTGTGGGCCGGCCAGCCGGCCAGGAGCCCTGTGATCTTCCTTTCTCTATGCCCGTTTGGTGCTGCTTCGCCACTCGTTTCCTCATGCCTTAAAGCCACCTTGCCAGGATTAAGAATTCACAGATAGCCCTGGCCCGTGTGGCTCAGTCGGTTGGAGCGAAGTCCTATACACTGAAAGGCTGCTGGTTCAAGTCCCGGTCAGGGCACGTGCCTGGGTTGGGGGTGAGGTCCCCGGGAACTGATCGATGTTTCTCTCTCGCATCTGTGTTTGTCTCCCCCCCAACCCCCACCCTGCCTTCCCTTCTCTCTAAAATCAATAGGCATGCCTCGGGGGAGGATTTTTTTTAAATTCGCAGATATTTTGCTTAAGGAACAGTACACATGCACCGTTTTGCTGTGTTATGGAGGCAGCAAACGCTAAGCGTCTGAAGAGGGCTCAGCACTGCTCTGGTGCGAGCACGGAGCCCCCCCCGCCGCCCTGCAGTTCCCATCCCCCGGGGCGGCTGCCCCCTCCACCCCCCAGCCAGAGCCTGCCTCGGTGCCCAGGGAACCCGGGGGACCCGGGACACTGGGAGAGTGGTGGAGGGGAGGGTCCTACACACAGGGGTTTCCAGGTAAACCCCTTGGACCTGCACCGCCCACCGCCCCGCCGGTGGTCTCCACCTCCTCAGGCACAGGGCCCGGAATCCCAGGAGGGAGTTAAACCCCGTTGTTGTAACAGCCCCCCACAGAGCCAGACACTCTGTGCCAGGGGCTGGAGAAGGTGAGTGAATGAACGAATGACCGGATTCAGCCAGCCAATCCCTCGGTCATGGGGAACCCAAATGTTACTCAGTGTAACCTCAGCCAAGTGGTCATCTAGCTTCCACTTACACACTTCCAGTGACAGGCAGCTCACTACTTCCAGTTTCAGATCATCCCTAAGATGAGCCAAGTTCTCCACCTGCCGACTTCCCCACCAGCCCCAGTGGGCTGCCGGTGGGACCCAAACACATTCAACATCTCTGCCATCGGATGGTGTCCGAGCCGTCATAGGCAAGGGAACACACAGAACCCCGCCGCCGGACGTGAGGGGCCACAAGCCTCCTGGTCGTCTTCTGTTCCAGATGAGCTTCAGGCCAGAGAGGGGCTGCGACTTGCCCCGGACCACAGAGCTGGCTAAGGACCCGGCCACGATGGGACTGCAGACCCAACTTGGAAACCCCAGAGCCCCGCTGGGATCTCCTCCAGCTGTCCCCACGCTGAGCAGCCCCTCCCAACAGTCGGTCTGATTCTGCGACGCTGAGCACCTGCTTGCCTCAGGGAGACCCTCGGCCTGGAGAAAGCCGTCTCTGGCCACTGCTGGCGGGAGGCGCAGCGCGGAGGCCCGGGGTCCGGGTGTCAGGAGCCGCTGCAGGACCCAGACCTGCAGGGTGGGCTGCAGGGCTCTTGGCCACCCCCAGACAGGGGCCTCCCTCCCTCCCTCCGAGCAGCAGCTCCGTGTGTGTGCGCACGCGTGCGTGAGCGTGTGTGTGTGTGTGCACGACTATGCGCCGAGCCTCCCGGAGCGACAGGAACACGCAGCAAGCTGTCAGCGAGTCCTGCCAACGCGAAAGGGTAATCGCCACGCACGGTGCCAACAGACAGACCTCCGGCAGATTCATTTGGTTTGATTTTGTGGTTATTTTTTTTTACAACTTTAAATATGGAATATAAATAAATTTTACATTTAAAAAATAAAAGGAAAGCCCCCAAAAATATAATCACCGACTTTACAAACTGAAGGAAGCAGATTTTGGAGAGGGGGAGGGGGGAAGTGCAGTGGAGGGCAGGAACGTGGTGGGAGCTCAGAGCCCCCCGCCCCAGGGGGCCCGGGGACCTTTGCCCTTTCTCCCCTACTCCCAGCCGGAGCCGCTCTCCTGGGAGGAGCCACCAGAGGCAGAACCCCAAAGGATCTAAGATGGGGGAGTGTGGGGGGGCATGAGGGCTGCCCCCCGCTTGGAGACCCTCTCTTGGTGTTGTCATGCCTGCCCGGAAAGAGACTGCTGGAGCTGAGGACCTGGGGAAGTGGAGGCCAGGGGGGCCGTGTCATCTCCCCCTCCCCACCACGGGGCTCGCGCCTGTCCCACCCTCCGAGCCACGGGCTGGGTCAGGGGCACAGCCAGCCCTCGTCGCAGAGCCTCTGTGTCACATAGGAGAAAGATCCCTTTCCTCAGACAGGCGACCTCCACCTGCCAGTGCTGATGGTGTGAACAGTGCGCGCCCTGCACAAGCTGATCGGGCAGTCTGGGCTGGGCCGGGGTACACCGGGCGGTCCCCTGCGGCCCCGGCCCCTGGTCTCCTGCCCCAGGGAGCAGTCACCGGGCTCATCAGGAGCCTCGATAAGGGGCGCTCCCCTTGGTGGAGCAGACTGAAGGGCCAGGACAGGGGCAAGGAGGAGGGGTGGAGGTAGAGAGGTAACACAGGAGGAAGCAGGGGGAGGGTGGGCGGGAGAAGGCAGTGGGTGCCCAGGTCACCGTCTGCACCCACCTGCAGCGCAAACTTCATCTCTAACGCGTCTGAGAGGGCACCTGGCTGCCCGGCACTCCGGCCAGGCCTGCCCAGAAGAGTCCGCATCTTCAAAGATGCCGTGTGTGTAAAATGAAAGAAAGCCACTGTGAGCGGAGGGGAGGAGGGAGAAGCGACTGGGCCTGGGCGCTGTGGGCGGGGTTTGCTCCATCCAGTCTGTGCCCGGCCCAGCCTCAGCCACAGAAGTCCGAGGCCCTCAGGCCGGTCTGCCTGCTGCGGGCGTTCCCAGGGGACCCGGCTGGGGGCCAGGGGCCGAGCAGGCGCTGCTGCGGAGACGTTGCAGGGCCACAGGCAGGGTTCCTCGAGCCGGTCCGCTGCGCTCGGGGTGCCCTGGGCAGGCGCCGGGGAAGGAGCCCCTTCCCCCATCAGTCTCTCTTGCACTCTTATCCCAGATTCTCGGGGTCGGTGGGGAGAGGAAGGCTTCGATGGAGTCCAGGTTCTTCATTTCCTTCTCAAGCTTCCGGGCAAGACGCTGGAGGCCACTGAGGGGAGACCCGCTTGCAGAGGGGTGATGGACGCGTGGAAAGGTGGGGGAAGCACCATTGGCCGTCCGAATCAGGCATCGAGACAGACGGACGAGGGGAACAATATTATCACTCCAAGGACCCCATGGGGGCGATACAGCAAATACCATATTAAATAACCCTGCAAGCCAAGCAGAGGGACAACGGGGGCTCAGAGACAGCCCAGCAGCTCCCCACCACTCTCTCCTGCACTGCTCGCTAGGGGCAGGGAGCCGGGGGCCACCTGGAGTCGTCCCTGGTTGCCAGCAGCGCTCGGGGCTGGGCAGCCGAGGTTTCACCTGCGCCTTCTCGGAGGGCATGCTGGGACACAGCTGGGCTGGGGTCTGCAAAGCCCCCCACCCACCTGTCCCAAGGAAAAACTCAGTTGATAGCTGGGCAGAGGGGATCAAAGCTTAGCGCCTGCATTTCCTCTGGGAAAATGCCTCTTCCTCAACTCCTTCCACGGCCCCACCCACAGGCCAGAGAGAAGGAAACACAGGGTTCTGGGCCTCAGTTTCCCCGCCCGGCCCTTACCTGCCCACACTCTCCTGCCGACACCCCTAGGCTCCGAGGGTCTCCTTCAGTGCCTTCTTGTTTTGCGTGTGCTTGAACTTCCTGTGCTTCCCCTTGGGGGGCCCTCGGACACGCACCGTGCGGATGGCCACTCGAGTCTGGGGCATCCTGGCTGCTCGGGAAGAAGGAAGGTTTGTCAGCAGGTGGGCAACCACTGTGGGGGATCCATCCCTCTCCACTGAGACCTGCCACAGACCTTCCCAGAGCCTCAGGGGCTGAGGGAAGGGGCCACACCTCCTGGGTTCAAATCCCAACTCCACCGCTCACCAGCTATCTGTGCCTTGGGAATAATTACTGAACCTCCCCATGCCTCAGTTTCCCCATCTGCGACATAGGGTGATAAGACTGCCCACTGCATAGAACTGGTGGGAGGAATAAGTCACAGAATGCCGGCAAACAGATCATTACCCCCACTGGCATGCCCTTTATTTCCCAGCCCCTTGAGCCTGGCCTGAACTTGGACCCGTCAGCCAGTACAGGGGGGTGGAATGGTGCTGTGCCCGTCCCAGACATACGCCTTAAAAAGGCCTGGCAGCTCCCGCCTTTGCACTTTGGGGACCCCTGTGCCCCCACGTGAGGAGGCTGGTCCCCCTGCTGTGGAGGCCACCTGGGGCAGAGAAGCCCTGGATGACAGGGAGAGGCCAGCTGTCTCCCGGTGGCTGACGGCAGCGACCAGAGAGAGACACCAGCAGAACCACACAGCCGAGCCCCATCAGCCCTCGGACCAGGAGGGTGGAAACGGCTACCGGCCCTGCCCCGAAGTTCAGAGTAAGCCGCTCTGATGGGTAAGCTGCTCTCCCTCGCTTGCCTCTTACTTCCTCTGCCTGACCGCTGCTGAGGTTTCCTCCCACCCACCTTTCTGCCCCTCGCAGTCGTGTGGTGGGGAGCCCCTGGGCTTCCGGCCAGAACCAGGCCCCCACCACAGAGCTGGCCCCTCCCCTGCGGTCGGCCTGGCCCCCACCGCTCGGAGAAGCGGCACTGCGGGGCCGGCCAGAGCTCGGCCGCTGGGCCAGACCGCCTGAGTTCGAGTCTCTCGTGTGCTTTGGGGCAAGTCAGCGAACTCTCTGTGCCTTCATGTCCACGTTTTAACCAGCAGCCCTGGCCTCCTACGGTCGGGAGGCAATTCGTGGAAATTGCCAGAAACTCTCAGCTCGCCCTGACCATGCACCTGGCGATGTGCTAAGCCCATTTGCCCTCACAGAGGGTACAAGAATCTACGTTTCACGAATGAAGGAACTGAGGCAGAGGGATTGGGATTCAAACCAGGGACCAGCCTCCAGAGTCCACACTGTCAACCCCTCTGCTGTAAATCACGGGGCCCACGAGCCTCGGTCAAGGTCAGCACTCACACCTCTCTCCCTCCAGGGCACCCAGGCGGACACCCTGGCCGTGAAAGCTTTGTCCACTGAGCTCAAGGACCCCACTTCCTGAAGCCTTTCGACTTCTCCCAGCCCATCCGGCCCTTTGGGGCCAAGGCCTGACCTCCTGACTCGAATACAAGCTCCCATGAGGCAGTCATGCCATCTCTGTGACTTGGGGACTCGGGGACTTTGCACCAGGAAAGCTATTGAAGGGCCTGGGGTTTCCAATCTGGAGACCCAGCCAGCGGCAGGACGCTGGGCTGGCAACACCCGAGCCAGCTCAAGGGTGTCACACAGCTCACGAGGGACAGGCTGGAACAGACCCTGGAGCCCAGAGCCTGACACTGACCGCCACATCACACCGGCCACGCCACTGAGCCTTGACCCAGCCTGTGGACAGCTGCCAGGAGCTCCGTCCCACGGGGCTAAAGCGCTAACGCTAAAACGGCAAGACCTTGCCCACACGGTCACGGGTTCGACACCCGCCCCCCAGAAACTGGGTCAAAAAATCATGTGGAACAAATATGGGTGAAAACAACCCCATTCTGAACATAAAGCAGAACATCTCTCCTGGATAGAAAAGTCACTCTCCGGGCTAACGCTGCACACAGTTTACAACCCATCAATCAGCTTGAAGCTGTCAAATCATTGGCCTTCGCAGAGCACCCAGGCCCCACCCACCTCGGCCCGCCAGGACAGGACGCAGAGGGGGAGGGGCGGCCCTGCCTTCCTTCAGAGGGCTCGTAGTAAGAAATAACAACGGGGTCTGTTCCATTTCCGAACAGGAGCACGTTACTGAACATCAAAACAGTAACTTGGGGGATTTTTTTAAACATTTAATCGCATTCACTTTAATGATGCTCATTTGATCCTGAGGCAAACTTTTGAGGGAGAAAAGGCAGCTGGATATAGTTCGAAGAACACAGAACTGGCCGTTATCCGACCCGGGACGAGCTCTGTGACTTTGGACCAGAACTCCATTTCTCCAGCCTCAGGCACACCCTCTGCAAAATTAAACCAGATCTTTCTCTTTTTTTTTTTTTGGCTCTTTCAGCTCTCTAAGCTGAACTGTGCCCCCGACTTGTAGAATCTGAGGAGGGGAAGGAAACTCTGGTCCCACTGAGCCATCTGATGCTTGAGCCCCGTGTCTCACATCCCTCTGCGCAGCTGCCCAGCCTTTCCCGACACACCCCCAAAGACAGGGAACTCACTCCCTCACAAGGAGAACAACGCCATCCTGGATGTCCGACTAGGACATGGAATTAAAAATCTCTGTCTGGTGGCTTCGCCTGCTCGTCCTAATGCCCCCCTCAGGGCCACAGGAATTAGTTCGTTTTTTCACCCCCAGGACAAGGTGTCCCATATCCGAAGACGCTGTGCATGGGGCCTTCTCCCGCCCAGGCTCTCGCCCCGCCCTCTTTCATGCACTCATTCAACCAAGTGGGGGCCGTGAAGTCTGGGATGGGCTATGCTGCACGGGGTGGTCAGGGCAGACCTCTGGGAGGAGGTGACTTCTGAGCCGAGACCCAAATAAAGAGAATAAGTAGGTTTATGAAGAGCTGAGAGACGTGCGTTTCAGCGAGATTGGCACGAACAAAGGCCCTGGGGCAGAAACGTATCTAAGCCACTGGAAAAGGCCAGGCTGGCAAATACGAAGGGGGCTGGTTGTCAGCAAGGCCAGAAGGCCAACTGGGCACTCTGTCCTCACGGAAGGCCTCACAGGCAGGGGAGGAACCTGGTTGTTCTGGGTGGAAAGCTTCAGGTGACGCTGACCAGCATGGGGCATGCCTGATCCAGCCCTCCCCACCAGCAGCGGCCGTGGGAGAGCGGGGCTGCCGGGCTGAGGGGTCAGAGGCAGACCCTGGCAGACCCATGGTCACCTCGCTGCTCCTGGGACTTACCTGGCTTTCGGGTCACGGGTTGCGCCGCAGCCACCGTCTCACACCTGCACGCCAGATGGTCCTCCAGGGTCACCGTGACCAGCTTATTGATCGGGATCTTTCTCACGATCTCGATCTTCTTCACCTGGAAGACAGGACCCCCCCCGAGTGCCCGTGTAAGACCGTGCGGGAAGGGGCTGCGGGAGCCACCTGCCTGCTCTGCGCACCCCACCATCCCCCGCAGGAATCTTTCCTCGAAAGCCCTCAGCAGGGAGAGCCGAGAGCGGCAGGGCAGACACCGCGGCCCAAACAATAGCAGGACCCTGCCCTCTGCCCTTCTCGTAGCTTTTCCATCAAAACAAGCCCTCCCGACCTGGCCTCCAGCTCGGCCAGGGCCCCCTCGGCACTCCCAGAGAGGGAGAAAGGCATTTCCGGGCTGAGCCGGGGCCCATGGTGTCCTCATTCCTGGAGCGCCAGCCAAGGTCAGGGGCTGTGGCAGGGGTGGGGGGTGGTTGTCTGGAAGGAAGTGGGGGGCGGCTTTATCCAGGAGGGAGGCGGGAAAGGGGAGGTCAGCTGTCAGGTGTCCATCCACAGAGGTGGACGCATTGGGGACAGGTGATAGCAGGACAGTGGGCGGCGTGGCAGAGAGTGACACTTGTGATCTCAGGCACAGGACGCGGGCCTGGGATGCAAGCGGGCGCGAGGAAGGGAGGCGAGGTGAAGCCTACAGAGTGTCTGGGGAGAGGGCCCATGGGCCACGGAGCCCTCGGTGCGTCCACTACCCAGCAGCCCAGCCCAGCCCAGCCCAGCCCAGCCCGAGTCAGTATGTGGGCAAGGCCAGCCCGAGGGGTTCTGCTGAGGCCTCTCTGGCCCTGCGCCGCCCGGCGTGAGACCGGCGGCTCCCCCAGCGTGGACTCGACTCTCAGATTCCCCTTGAGTCAGAGGTACACCCGGTGTTTCCAGAAGAGAGGCAGGGTTCGCACTCTGACTCTGCGTGAGGGCTGCCCCGCTCCTGGCGGTGCCTCTGCGCCCCCCTCATTAAAGACACAGCTTGTCAGAGGGAGAGGAGCCGGTGATGCGGACACACAGGGGAGCCACTGTCTCTGCGAAACAAAGGGAACTGACAGGCCGGGGCAGGGAGGAGCTTCGGGGACCTCTGAGCAGCTGCCCGGAACATTCTGAGTGTTCAGCTGACATGTCTTTCAAGAGACACTGGGGGATTTTATCCCTGCTAAACACGAGGCAGCGCCCTTTACCTAGCACCCTACACCCAGCCCGGCTCGGGGTCTGCCTGTGGCTTTGGTCACGGTAGCCCGGGCGGCCTCAGCACAAATGTCCAGACGGCTCCCCAGAGGGCGTCCTCTCTGGACAGAGCCCAGCAGCCTGCCAGGAATGGCTTCCCATCCGTTTGGAAGCCGGGGCAGCCCTGCCGGCAGCGCTGGGCCGAGGGGCGGGGGCGGGCGGGGCCGCTGGCTCACCTGGACGGGCCGCAGCTGCACCTGGGTGGGGCGGCACTGCACCCGGTTGCTGTTGCAGCAGCCGGAGCAGCGCTGCACCTCGACGCAGGGCGGCCACACCAGGTAGTTGGCGTTGCTGCGGTCGATGAGGTTCCGGGAGATCTTGAACACCTCCGTGCGGGTCTTGCACTCGGCGATCCTGGCCGGCTCGGCCGCCGCCAGGGGATCTGAAGGAAGACAGGACCTCTGTCGGCAGGGGGCAGGCCCGCCCGGAGCCACCAGCGGGCAGGAAAGCATGGCAGGGCGCCTCCGGGCCTGCCCTCCTCCTAAATGACCGGCCAGTCCCCTCTCCCTCCCACGGCAGGGGAGGTTTCCAGTCCGGGCTGTCATCAGCCCATCGGCCGCGGGACCCGGGTGGGCTGCTGGTGTGCTCTAAGCCTCAGTTTCCCCGTGTGCACACGGGGATGACCGACACTCAAGAACCATTGCCAGGATCAAAGAGAGGTCATCCGGAAGGTGCTGGCATGTTGTACACGTCAGAGTCCTTCCACCACCAGCCCTCACTCACGTCACTCCGTGACCTCACGGCCTTATGGGTTTGCCGGACAAGTGGCCCGCACTCATCACCTACGGCCTTGCAACCGCTGTGCTCGGCCGCCTCACACTGTGGCCTGTTCTGACACCATGGCTTCTTTGGGAGCCTCGGTATGCTCATCTGCACAATGGGACAACAATAGCGCCTGCCCGGCACTTGCAGGCCTAAGGGGTCCTGCGCGGGACGCCTGGCCTAGGCACAGCCAATGCCGGGGCTGGTCATCGTCCACCTGCGAGGAACTGCGGCTCCGGGAGCTGAACTAGCTGCCCAAGTTCACGGGCCGAGGAGTGGAACTCAGGTCCCGACTCCTATGGGGAGTGCCCACCCCCACGGCACCTTCGACAGTATTTTGGGTACTGCAGGTGGAGAGAGAGGAGGAGGAGGGGCTTGGGGTGAGCCCTGGCCTTCCCTGGGGAGGCCTCCCCAAGACCTAACGTTCTACACTGTCCTCCGGTTTCTGCGGTAGAGCAGAAAGCAGGGCCCCGGCCACGGCCCTTCGTCGCTGCAGAGACACGCCGCCAGGGGGGCCCCGGGTTCAACTGAGAGGCGCTCCTGGGGTCCCAGCCCTGCCACTCGTTAGCCGTGTGAGCACGCCTGCTTGCTCACCCTCTCCTGGGCTCCATTCTCCCACTCTGTAAAATGGGTCCATAATACCTATTGCTAGGGTTGAAGTAACACAAAACACAGTTAAAAGCACTGTGTTTAGGAAAGGGAGTGTGTTGGGGGTGGGGCGTGATGCCGCAACTCAGTGTAAGGTGTTTGAGGACGCTGTGCTCTCTTAGTTCATCCCGGTCCTAAGTGGTGGGGGCGCCGGGGGGCACATGGAGTCGGCCCTCAGAGCCTGGGGGAGCCGCAGGCCCCAGTCCTCCTTCTCTGGCCCCCACCTTTGTGGGGGGGCCTCACTCTCACCCTCAGTCTTACCTAGGCTCCTTCTCCCTCGGGATAAGCTCTCCGGCTCGCCTCCAGAATGAGACCGGGTCAGATTCAGGTCCAGCTCGGCTCCATCTTCCTCTGCAAGAGTCGGCACAGTCAGAGGCGCTCTGACAACTGCTGGCTGGCCCGACCCCGGGCGGGGGCTCCGAGGGGGCTCTGGGGCGGGCGGGAGGCTGCCTGCCGCCCCTCCCCGGGACCCCACGCCACAGAACAGGCTCCCCTTCTGGCTCCCAGTGAACTCAGGTCCCCAGCTCTGAGGAGACCCCCCTCCCCGGGCAAACCCGGGTGCAGGTGCAGCCCTGACTGTGCCCTCTGAGGGGGCTTCAGCCCCACTCTGGGCTCTCCAGGCACACTTTGGGACAGAACCCATGTCCGCGAAGTTAAAAATAACCCTTCCCCTTTGCTACTGTACTCGAACCCTCCTTGGCCTCCAGGGCAGGGCCAGGACCCAGAGCTCTGAAGGCTGCTTTCCAGTGCCCTCCGCCCAGCGTTCCCACAGGAAGTGCTGAATGGAGAAATTCCCAGAATCCCCGGGGGGACCGCCATGCCCTGGACACAGCCCCTCCGGAGCCCCTGACAATGGCCCAGTTGGGCGGAGAGAAGGAGGGAGGGAGAGGGATGTGGGTGGGGGCTGCGGGCAGGGAGGGGTGCTGGGATCGCAGGCCTCACCCAGGGCCCTTCCAAATCGCGGTCTCTCTCCACCTCCCAGCCTCTCGCTGTGTTTTTCTGTCTTCTCCCCTCTAACCTTCGGCCCTGAGCTGTCCGGTCATTGCTAAGGCCACAGCTCCAGCTCCCCTCTCTGGTCTCAGCGCCATCAGAGCTCATTACAGAGACAAGCGGAGCTGGCTGCTGGGGGCGCGGGCTGGCCAGGAGGACTTTGAGCTTGACGTTGACTGGTGGGCAGATTCTTCCAGCTCTCTGCTGGCTGAGAGCCAGCAAACAAACTGAGGGATGTCGGGGACCGGCTCCAGCACCCCCTCAGCCCCACACAGCAGCTCGGGCTCCCAGTGGCCACCCCCCGCCACCCCGCTGGCCCTGCTCGCCCCTGCAGGCTGCCAGCGGGTCCTGTTCAGAGGGGGACTGCCCTGTAACTGGCGTGTTCCCATCTAGCCTACTGTCCCACGTCACTGCGTCTGTCCGTGCCTCCCGGTCCCTTCCTTTCTCTCTGCCATCTCTGGAATGTCCCCACTGGGGAGGAGATGGGGAAAAGATGTGCATTGTGGAAAGGTTAAGTTGATTAGGAAAAAATAGCCACATGGTTGCCTCGAAACAGGGCTGCTATTGAAAACCTCGTCTCCCTGATCCCGACCCCCACCAGGGCGTGGAGGGGCTGTCCGAGGGTGGGGGCGAAGGCCCTTGGAAAGAAACAGCAGAAAGGCTAAATTTGGAAGTTGCCCCATTGTGTTGGCCAGGGCTGGCCAGTCGGGCATGGGGTGGGGGTGTGGGAGACGTCGGGTGGGGGGCCTGGTGAACAATAGGTGGGCCCAGCTGGGGCCCCCTCCCGCCTACCTCGCCAGCCCCCAGCGCAGGCGGGTTTGAAAGGGCCCGGGAATGCTTTTGAGAGGGAGCCAGGGGCCCAACGGGGAGAGGAAACAAAGGCAGGAAATGCTGTCCCCCGTAGATAGCAGTCTGGGCAAGGATTACAAAGTGACAAAGAGACAAAACCCCAGAGGGAAGGGGAGCTGGGGGTGCAGGGGGGGCGCTGACCAGGGCTCCGGGGATCAGGCCAGAGGTTAGAATAGAATGGAATTTGCTCTGAAGACAGCGTTTATAAACACATCCCCCACCCGGACCGCCAGCCCCGCCATGCGTGTGCCACCGAGCACGTGCCCCTCCGCTGAGTGCGTTCTCGGGCACGGGCAGGGCGGCCGCTGGCCTGGGCCAGGTGTCCCCAGGAGACCTCGTGGCGTGGGCCCTGGGCCAGAGGGGCAGGCATGTGGCTCCTCCGGCACCGCCCCCGGCTGAGTCCACACCTGGATCCTCACTGGGCAGATGCCCCGGGCACCCCCGGGCGCCCCACCCTCCGCACCAAGCCAGAGACGCATGTGAGTGCTTCTCCCGCCACGCCCCACGTCCCAGGTACCAACCCGTCTGCCTACTCAGCCCTGCCCCAGACAGGTGTGGCCGAGCCGTGCCTGGGCTGCCACAGGCCCCGGTTCTCTGGATGTCGAGCAAGAGAGGACGGCCTTTGCCCTGCCCCTCCCGGCTCCCGGGTACTCCGCGGAGGGCCAGCACAGCGGACGAGGATTCAATTTACCTACGGAGTCTCCGTGCAGCAGGCGCTGGAGGTCATCGAAGGAGCGGATGGAGTGGTCACTCAGCATCTCGTAGAGCTCCTCGGGAATGGGGTCCCCCTGCCAGGCAGACAGCATGGGACCGAGTGAGCTGGGGCTCAGGGCTTCCCGGCCGGGCCCCCTCATCCCCATCACAGACACGCCCTCCTACTCGAAGTTCCCACAGGGCCCCTCGGCCAGGGACCGACGGACTGCCAGGCTGGGGGTGGGCAGGCGGCAGAGTCCAGGCCTGACCGCCAGGAGCACAAAGGCCCTGGGGCCAGAACCTGCAGCCGCCTCTGAGACCCGGCGCAGACCACTCGTCCCCACCCCACACAGGACCCCCAGCTTGCTCTGAGTTTGGGTGTGTATGTCCTTCCCCCGCCCTCCACCACACTGCAGGTTCTGGGAGGGCCCCCCATCTTTCTGCTTCCCCTCCACACCTGGCAGCTAACGACAGCCAGCATTGGCCATGGGCGGTCTGATCATCCCCAGTTCACAAGTGGGAAAAGAGAGGCTCAGGCAGGCGACACCGTTTGCCCGAGTCCTGCAGCCGATGCGCCGCAGAACCGGCGCCCTAACCCCAGGCTCCCAGTGGCCGAGCCTGCGCACGCTCCCCGCCTCCCGGGTGCACGCGGGGCCGCATGAATGCTCGCAGAGGTGCATGGTCTTGGGAGGCCACAAGTACTGAGGGTGTTTATTTAATCTCTCACCCAGAGGGCAGAGCAGGGAATCCTCAGATGCGGCCGGGAACCCGAAAGCTCACCCGAAAGCTCACCCGAGCCCCGTGCCCAGCCAAACGCTATTTTTAGAGCCCCCCTGGCCTGTTACCAGAAACACTTGAAACTTAATAAGCACTTTAACAGGCCCCATTCGGAGCCGGGCTTCCTCCAGGGAAACCGCAGGTCCCACAATGACACGAGAGCAACCCAATAGGAAGGACGCGGCCACATCCCCTCTGGTCCAGGGAGACCCCCGGGGGCTGATGCCCGAGGCCGGGACAAAGAGGCGAGGGAGACGAGAGGCTGAGACACGCGATCCGGATACCCTCCTCCTCCGGACAAAGACAGCGTGTGAGACGCTGCCGCACGTCCGAGCTCACACCCCTGTGAACACACACACATGCACGCGCAAACACAGGGTCGTGGAAGGGGCCCCGGGGAGGGCGTCAGCTGACTTGACTGACCGCTACTGTTTGACTTTAGTCAGCAGCGCTGTGCCTCGGTCTCCCCGGGGGAGGAAGGGAGGAGCTCCCGCTCCAGTTGGTTCACCCCAAGGACTCGAGTCTTAGCACAGCCACCTCCCCTCCCCACCCAGCAGGAAAGGGCGGGTGGCTGCACCGCGTGGCCGGCCCTCGAGGCTCTCCCCCAAAGCTCTGGTAGACGCCTGGTGATTGATCAGTTTTTAGCCTCCCCCCAAAGGTCATTTCCTGGACACTTATCACAGTGTCTTCCTCCAGGGGTTCCAGCACGTCCAGCTGTGGCCACCCGAGTTGACCTCGTGGACAAAACCACTTCTAAAACGGATTCCTTAAAACCCCTGAGCTCAGTGTCTTCGTTTGAACGAGGAGCTTATCGTTCTGGCCGGGGTCCAGGGCTGCCGGAAGCTCCGGGGAGGGAAGGTCGGGGTGCAGCAGCCGGTCTGGCTGGAGATCAGGGTCGTCCCTGCAGGGTCCATGACCGCGCAGCCAGGTAGCCAGGGGCTGCGAGCGTGAGACGAGGCGACGCGTTGGCTGGGCTGCCGCTCCCCTTCCTCCCCCATCTCCTCCACGCGGGACCTCCTCCGGCCCCAGGAGAGGGGCCACCCTTTGGGTGGTCTCCAACTGTGGACACAGGACTCAGCCCCAGAATGGAAGGCAGGTGGCCGGTCGCCAGTTAAGACCGAGGTAGGCCACTACCTGGAGGGTTCCCTCGGCCCCAGAGTCGGTGGTCCAGAGAGCTGGACCCACTCTCTCCTGCTACCAACCACCAGCGACCTCAGGCTGGCCACTGCGCCTTTCTGTATGTGGCTCTCACCTGCGAATCCAGGGAGCTGGAGACCTTTGATTTGAGTCTATTTCTGCCCAGGGATGTCAGGAGAGGCAGCAGCAGAGAGCCAAGGGGGAGGTGCCCAGCCAGATCACCCGGGCTGTGTGTGGAGTAATGAGTCAATTAACTGCCCAGGAGAGCTGGCTGCAGCTGCCAGCCGTGGCAGGGAAGGCAGACCCCCAGTCAGGCTCAGCGGATGCCCCAGGCCTGGCCTACGATGTGAAAGAGGTGACATCTTCTGGAAACGAACCCAGAATGCTTCCCAGGCTGCCTGCGGAAGAGCCCAGGACAGACACTGGGGAAAAGCACACGGTAGGTGCTCAGTAAATGCCAGGAAAATGCATGAAGGACTCTCCCCTTGCTTCGCCCTGGGATTCGCTCCTGGATGATTCTGGATACACCTGGGATAGTCTCGCCCTCCCCTCACGCAAACTGCCTCCTATGCAGTCCACATCAGTCTAAGCAGAGGTCGTTCCTGCACACGCTTCTGTCAATCGGGCCGCCAGGTGCCCAGAACTCAAGGAGCGCGCCCGCATTTGACACACTCCGCAGTGTTTACTAAGTGCTGACTGTAAGCCAGGCACTGAGCTAAAGTCATTCCTAACTACCCACCCTTTAAGAGGCTGGTGCTATTTTTATCCCCGCCTTCCAGATGAGGAAGCCGAGGCTTAGAAAAAGGACGTGAATGGCTGCAGGTCAACAAGACTAGTAGTGAGCAGCCGCGCCGGGCCCCTCCCTCTTGCAGCCACCACGGGCCTCCTGGGCACTCTCTCCAGTTCAGGCCTCTTTTCTCCCTGTAGAGGTCACAGAGCAGAGGTCCCCCGCCGGGGGCGAGTGGCCCCCAGGGGACATTGGCTGTGTCTGGAAGCATTTTGGGTTGTCACAACAACAGGGGTGCTACTGGCACCTTGTGGGCAGGGACTGGCCTGTTAACCACCCTGCTATGCCCAGGACAGCCTTCCACGGCAAAGAACTGTCTCACCCAAAGTGTCAACAGTGCCGGGGCTGGGAACCCGCAGCAGCAGATGAAAGAGCACAGGCTGCGGCTGCCAAGGACAGCTCGACTGTTGGAATATGTCTTGACAACCTCAAATCCCAGCTTCTCTATCTTTTAAGCGGGGCTAACAACACCTCGCCAGGGTTACTGGGAGGCCTATTGCACCCGGCAGCGCAGCCAGCAAATAATGGGCGTGCAATGAGCTGTCGACGTGGTCACTCCTCCGCCGTGGCTCCTCTGAGGGCGGCAGCGAGCTGCATGCACCCCTGGGGCCAGCAGCTCCGGACATTTCTGAGAATGACAGTGGGTGGGTGGGCGGAGAGCTGCCTACCCACGGGACAGTGTGTGGCTTTGCCCTGTCCTCCGTGCTGGGCCACAGGAAGTGGCACCTAGCCCCACCGCGGCGGTGCCTGGGGCCGTGTGGGCTGCTGGGCCCCTTCCAGGGCTGGGGAGTAGGTGAAGAGTGAGGAAATCCAGCCTGTGGTCAGCTCCAGGGTGCAATGCCCTGAGAGTGCACCTGCTTGGGGTCAGAAGCTTCGGGTCAGAGGCTCTTCTTCATGTGGAAGGGTGAGCGCAGAGTGAGGGTTTTCCTGGACACGGGTTCTAGAAGCCTCCTTAGGTGGGCAGCTCCCCCTCGGAGCCGGAAAAGGAGGCTGGGCACCCCAGGGACACTGCCCCAGATCTCAGGCCCGGGGTTCTGGCAGGGTGAGGGCGTGGCAAGAAGGCAGCTGGGGCACAGCCAGCCACGGGAGCCAAGGCAAACAGCCTCCTCCCCACCCCACCCCCAGCGCCAGCTGCAGAAGGTAGGAAGGGCACCAGCTAGAGCAAGGCTGGGTGAATTACCTGCTCCCCACTGGGATGGCAGATCAAAGGGCCTGGACCCACCCTCCACCTGGGCCCCAGCACACACACAGGTACGCTCTCCCCGGCCCTCCCGCCCTCCAGCTGAGGGAGACGACGCGGGGCTCAGGGCTCAGCCCGAGCAGCCAGGGGCGTTGGCTGTGGCTGGCAGAGGGAGAAGCCTACCGGGCCTCCTCTGAGCGCCCGCCCGCCCGCCCGCCTGCCTGCGAATCTCAGGCCTAATTTAGATTCAATGCCAAAGCCAAGGCCTTTGAAGAAGCCTCCTCTGGGCAGACCACAGAAGCCATTTAGAACCAGCCTTCCCACCTACCATTTCCCTTCCTTATTGCTCCTGGGACCACCCCCGTCCACGGCCCCACCCCTCCTTAATGTGAGCCCAGCCTCCCACGGGGCTCCCCACCCCTCCCTGCAGCAGAAAAACTGCTGGGGCGGGAAGAGAGGGACCAGTGCAGCCACCGAATCCTGGCAGCCGGGGCGATCACTGCCCCCCACCGCACCTCTGCCCCAGCTGTCAGCCCGGGGCAGGGCCCTGGACTCTGCATTTTCCAGAGGCCCAGTAACCCCTCTGTTGCTCTAGGGGAGCTATGAGCTAATCCAATGCCCTTCTATTTTTAGGCGGCGGAAACTGAGGCCCAGTTCAAGAGACACAGAACCCTTGCCATCTGATTGTCCTTCTGTTTCTCCCCTCCGTGCTGCCAGTCCGAGCCCCAAGCCGTGGAAAAGAAAGGCGAGCTTGTCTCTCAAGATGAGGCAGGGGGAGCTCGAATGAGGGTGCCCAGTGGCAGGGGCAGTGGCCTTGCTGGGCTGCCCTGGGGGAAGGGCTACAGGAGGTAGCGTTTGTGAGGCGCTCAGCAAGCACTGGGCACGTATCTGGTCCTCCCCGACCTGCGGGATGCACTGACCTTTCCACAAATATTCACAGGTCAGTCACACCCCTCCCCTGTAGGCCAGGCGCCCCTCTCAGCGTGGGGGGTGGCGGTCACTAAGACAGAAGCTCCCCGGTGGAGCTCACCCTCCAGGGAGGGAAGAGCAGGTGATAAACAACTGAATAAACCAGAAAACGCAAAGAGCTGCCCACCTCAGTGCGGGCGAGGGGAGACTTCGAGAGGGGTTTCTGGGGCACACGGTGAACACCTCTTCCCCACTCCTGCTGACACTCTTTCTCCCTCTCTCTCTCTCACACACACACACTCAAGCACAATCTTTCTAGGTCTTGCACCAGAGCCTCCAAATTTTGTTTGGTCCTAAACTTGCAGACACTTCTATCTAGGACTGGGGGATTCCAGCAAGCTGGTCCGCCACCCGCTAAGGCATCAGCAAACCCGGTGGAAGCTGGGTCGTGAAGGGCAGTGGGGCCCCTTCGCTCGTTCCCCGCAGAAGGAAGGGTGCGGAGGCCAGAGGCATCACATGACAGTGGGAGTGACCCTCCCCAGCAGCCAGCACCGCCGACCCCCTGCCAGGACCTGCCTCGGGCTTCCCGGGCCTCCTTCCCAGCCGCTGAGGCCTCCACCTGCGGCGCAGTCCAGGCGTGCTTGGGGCATGGCCAGATTCGAGGCCACCTGCACCAGCAAGCCCTGCCGGAGTCCCCCTTCCTGGACTGGCCCCCGGGCCCATGGGTTTGCCCTTTAGGTGTCTTCTCCCAGAGCCGCCTTGAGGCTTGCTCAGGCTCAGCAGGAAAGTGCTCTGTAAACTGCAAAGCACCACCCAACTGTGGGCTCCTAAGAGCCATGTGTTCAGGGGTGTTGTGACTGAAGAGAGGAGAGAGGCACTGGCTTCTGTGCCGTAGCACACCCCCCTGCCCCGCCCCCTACACATGCACCGCACGGTGGAGTTGTGGGAAAGCAGGGGAGGTGCTGGATGAGGGCTGGGAACGGTAAGGGCAGGCCTGGGAAAGCCTTAGCCAGCTGTCACCCAGCTGGGTAAGCCAAGGGGACAGAACAGTGCCGGCAGGGGGAGGGGGGCGGGGGAACTCCCTCAGCGGCTCAGGGTCCTCTAGTCCCCGAGCTTCACCTGGAGGGAGGAACGCTCTGGACGTGACAGTAGCCCCCAAACACATCAGTACCATGTGCAGCCACACGGGATGAGCTGGAAAAGAGCAATCACAGAAGAGTGATGCTTGAAGGGCATGGGGATGACCTTACCAGGCCCCCCCCCCAAAAAAAACCCGTGGGTGCTGTGGAGCAAGGGCTGATGGAAGGGTCCCTGTTTCCCCTCCCTCACAGCACCCAGGAAGGCAATGGAGTGGCTACAGAGGTGAGGAGGTTCCAGGGCCCACCATGGGCCCACCTGTGGCCGAGGGTGGGTGCTGGCGCTGGGCGTGCGTGCGTAGGTGGGCGCGTACGTGTGCTGAGGCCGCGTGTGCCTGGGCCTTGCGTGCGTGTGTGTGTGCGCGGTGCGCGCGCGTGTGCCCCGCGTGTGCACGGGCGTGGCAGCGGCGGGCGCGCGACCCGGCCGCAGTAGTGCGTGCCCGTCGCTCTGCGCGCCCGCCCGCCGGAGCGCAGCATCGCCTCCGGCCAAGAGTGTGCATGCGTGGGGTGAGTGAGCGAGTCGGGGGGCCGGACGGGGTGGGCTGCGGAGAGCAGCGGCGGGGACGCCGCGGTTCCCAGGACGTCCTGGCACCGGGCCCAACCCCCAGGCCCCGCGGCGAGGCGGCAGCTGGGGCCGGCCGGTGCCCCCTCCTCAACAGCTGGCCGCGGCCCAGGGGGCTGCGGGAGGAGAGGAAGGGGCGTCGGGAGGGGCCTGCAAGCGGCCTGGCCGAGCCCCGCGTCCTCCCTCCCGGGTGCGGGCGGCGGGGACGGCCGCGGAAGGGCGGGGCCCCAGGGCGGGCGGCCGGCGGCCCTCAAGGATCCCGGAGAACAAAAGGAGACGGCGACAGCTCCTCCGTGGTCAAAACAACCTGCGCTGGCGGCGGCCCAAGGCCCGGCCGCAGCCTCGGAGCCCTTCGCTTTAACCCTTTCGCTGCCGCCGCTGCCTCCTTCCTGCCTCGTTGGAGGTCGGGAGGGGAGGTGCGGGCTCCCGGCCGCGGCCGAGCAGAAGCGGGAGCGGACCTAGGTGCGCCGCGCTCCCGGCAGCCCTGCTCTCGCCTCCACCTCGCGCCTCCTCCCTGCCCCGCCCCCTTTCCCACCTGGATTCCGGGTACACTTGCCAACTCACTGCTACTTGAGGCTGGGGGCGGGGGGTGCGGATCAGACGCGATAGCTCTGGCAGACGTTTTTGTACCCCACCTCCCCTACAGCTAGGCTTTTTCCAGGCACCCTGCAAGCGGGGGAGAGAGGCGCTTCCTCTTGCAGGGCTCGGGCGTAGGCATGGCGGGGCTTCAGGCGCACACCGTCCTGGGGCTGGATTTCCTCAGAGCCCCCACGCCTCCCTCACCCCAAGTGCCCAAAACCTGTCCGAAACCCCCACCTCCCTTCCGCTGCGCCCGAGACACAAGCTGCTCCGGGACCGCGCTCTGGGGCTGGGCATGCCCTGCACGGCCCGAGGGTGCCCACTGTGACCGGGAGTGGGAGCCAGGGTGGGACCAAAACCTTGCCGAAGGTTGGCGTGGCTGCTACCAGTGCGCAAGCTCTCTCCGCCCGTGCAAGCCGGGTCCCAGACAGAACCTAAGCCGGAACAGAAGTGGGCTCGGGAGGACGCACTGCCTTCTGCACCCGCGGCACCACCCCACCCCCTCTCCACTCGCAGGGGAAGGGGCACATTCGGTCCCCGAGGGGTGGGGGGCAGGACCGCACACGTCTTCCCGGACGCTTAAAGGCGGAGAAATCTGGGATCGCTCCTGGGAAGGAAAGCCACCACTGCACCCTCCCCTTAGAGCCCGGCACCTCCCGCACCTCGCGTGTCAGCCCTCGGAGGTCACCCAGCGCCCAGCGCCAGCCCCACGGGCTGCGAGGGTCCAAAGTTCACTGTGGGGAGGAGAGAGGCGACCAAGGGGTAGCAGTGGGGGGGTAATGAATGAAGCGAACCAGCCCCACCGCCCTCGCAACTCACCTCAGCGCTGACCAGACGCAGGTAGCAGCAGAGAGACAGGAAGAGCGCCCAGCAGCGATTCATGCCGACTCCGGGCCCGGCCCCACAGGGCCCCAGACGCGTGGACCGAGCGCGCCGCCCCCTCGGCCAGGGTGGAGGGCGGGGGCTGGGGAGGAAGGTGGGCTCGGCCGGGGTCTGCGGCGATCAGGCGCTCTGGCCGCTGCAGCCGCTGTAGCGGCTCACCCGCATGGCCCCCGGGCGCCCCCGCCCTTAGCCCCGACTCCGTCGTCGCTGGGGGACTGGGAAGAGCCTGGGCGCGGGGCAAGGGTCCGAGGCCGCTACCTGGGCGGATCCCGAGCCCGAGCGAGCATCCACAGCCGGGGGCTGCGTCGCGAGCCAGCCGAGGTGTCCAGCCGTGTGGGGGCGCCCAGGGGACTCCAACCTCCGAGAGGAAAAAGAACGCGGCAGTCGATGGTTGCCTTCTCTCGCCAGCTAAAGGCGTTCTCCGCTGCCCGCCGGCTTAGCTTTTTTGCAACATTTTCTGGGAAGGCCCTTGAAGTCAGAAAGCGCAGAGCTGGGCGCCTCAAAACCAAAGTCACCCCCCAGAAACTTTTTCCAAAGTTGGCTTTGCAGCGGCGGCCCGAATACCCAAGCCGCGAGAGGTGCAAACTCCCGCCCGGGCCGGGTGGGGTGGGGGGGGCCGGAGCGTGTGCGCCCTGGAGCGGAGTCCCGGCGGCGGCGGCGGGCACGGCTGCTCCGCGTGCTGCGCGCCCGCTGCTCTCTGGAACCGGACGCAGCAGACAGGTGGACGTGGCGCAAGTCCGTCGGTCAGTCCGCCCGCCTGCTTCCCCCTCGGGGAGTCTTCTGCCGGCTGCGAGCTGCGGCTGCTCTGGCTTTCTCCTTGCAGCGAGGCTGGAGGGTGGGCTTTTCCCCCCGCGTTTTGCGCGTGTGTGTATGTGTGCGTGTGTGCAAGATATCTCTATGGGGAATGAAAGGCGGGCGCTGGCGGCCGAAGGAGAGCCCTCAGGGAGGCCGCGGGGGTTGGCTGCAGGCTCGAGGGGAGGCAGGCGGGCTGCTCCCCGTGGCAGGAGGAGAAGTTGCCACCCTTTCAGCTGTTCTGGCCTTTATAAAGAAGGGAGAGTGCGAGAGGTGGGTGGAGACAGCCTTTCCTCTTCTGGCTGAGAGTCAGCACCAGGAGGGAAGGGAGGGGGGGGGGCAGGAGCTCAGGAGGGCCTGAGGCAAGGATGAGGAGCTTGGTGGTCTCCAAGAGCCCCACAGCCCCTCTGCCCGGGAATTTGACCCCTGGAAAGAGAGCTAGGGGTGAGCAACCCCTGAGCCTCTCAAGGCAGTGACCACAGCCTGGTTTCATGTGGTTGGGGAGCGTCTCCAGGACCATGGCCAGGAGTCTGAGCCGCTCCTGCAGGGCCTGGCATTTGCACCCTGGCACAGGCGTGGGGGAGAAAGACTCCGGCTTTGCAGTTCGGTTCAGATCCTGTCCTGGCGCTGAGGAGCTGGGTCACCTTGGGCAAGTCATTTCCTCTCTGTACTCCTCCATTTAGTCTCAGAGTAAGGTAGGGCTACTGTGAGGACTTAATGCCAGAAAGGGCAGAAAGCACCCAGCTCCAAGCCAGCCTCAAGGGGACCACACCAACCCCGCAGCCAGTACCATGCAGCTGAAGGCTGGGTTCGTGTCTCCTCCTCCTAGCTGGCTGCCTGGCACAGCACGGGCGCCGCCGGCGTTGGCTGAATCTGAATTTGTTGAACTGCAAAGTCACACAACTCCCCCAATCCTGCAGCATCCTAGTCACCCTGGTGTTTACTACCTCCCTCAGCCCCCAGTTTGGAGGCCTGGGCCCCCTGCCCACACCAGCACTCACACAGTTAACACCTTCCGCCCCCAGCTCCGGGAGCTGCTATGTCCCTGCCTTCAGCAGTCACACGGTCACAGTCACAGAGTCACACGCACACCCGCTGCGCCCAGCACCCAGCCCACTGCATCACTCCACTCCTGGCTTCAGGATACTGTCTCTGGTCCCCTTGCGGTGCCTCTCATCTGCCCTCTGTGCCCCAACATCCCTGGGGGGAGGGGGCAGCCTGCTCCTCACACGCACGCACACCCACGGTCACTGAGACAAGCACACCGACACCCTCATCCGTCATCCCCTGGGACCCGCGCGGGGTCAGCCACTCAAAGGAGGGCTTCCCGGGATGGCCTGTGTACAGATGGCCGGCAAAGAGTGTTCTAGAGGCTCGGACAGGATGAGTCACGTGGGACACAGAGCAGGATGCCTGGCGCATGGAGTGCGTCGTCCCTTCAGCTCAGCTCCCGCCTGTTTCCCAGTGGCCAAGGACCGCGCCGGGCACTGGGGAGGCGGCGGAATGCTAATGCAGGCTGCAGCCCAGGAGGAGCCCCCAGCTGGAGGACAGACAGGTGCATGAATAGGTAAACCAGAAGGCGGGGTGACAAGGGAGATGGGGTGGGAGACTGGGTGGGAAGATAACCCCAAAACATGAGCTTTGACATTTAAAGACTTAGAGATTAAAACTGTCCCACTGGGGCAGCTAGGTGATCTTGACCTTGACCTTCTATATTCTTATCTGTAAATGGGATGATAATAGCTACCATGTTGATTGAGGTGATCTTGTGGTAGGTATCATTCCTACTCGGTGTGCAGCCTCTCAGTGCTCCTTTAAGATACGTTACTCTTGCAGATGGAGAAATTGAAGCACAGAGAGGTTAAGCAACTTGTTCAGGGTCACACAGCCAGTAAGTAGTAGAGCCAGGACTTGAACCCAAGCAGTCCAGCTGTAGAGCCCACACACTTAAACCACCATGATGTGCTTTCTCCCGGCAGGTGATGATGGTGACAGTGATGACACTTTCACACAGGGCTTGTGTGAACACTGCACACACTAATATAAGTAAAATCACATTGCCGACTGAGTGCATTGCCAACTGAGTGTGTTGCCGGCTGAAAAGGGCTGTACCAATATGAGCTCTCATGTGCGTACAAAGCGCTGTAAGAACACGAAGGAGGGAGCACACAGCTCAGCCTGGGGAGAGCTGCAAAGAGGGGAAGGCTACTGGGTGGGCTCAGCATCAGTGAGAACCTACTGTGCGCGGGCCCTGCGTGATGCACGAGGGAATGGAATGAGGAAGGGTCCTGGCACCCGGGACCTCCCCAGCCCCTGAGACAGACGTAAATCCCTGCAGCCCAGATGTCTCTGTGCCCTGGTTAGAAGTGGCAGGACGGGAAGCACAGAGGTGGCAGGGACCACGTGGCAGGCATGGGGCCTGAAGGTCATGCCCAGATGAACCCTTTCCTGTGCCCTCTCCTTGCAGACACCACGTCGATGTGTAGGCCTTTCCACACGCATTTCTCTAAAGGACGGTTCCTCTCGCCCTCCTGTCGTGCTCAGCTCAGCTTGCGCCTCCTCCAGGAAGCCCCCCCCCCCCGCCTGGCTGACTGCTTGCTCTGGGTTCGTGTGGCATGTGCCTCATGGTATTGTCATTGCCCATCGACAGGTCTAGCACTAGACTGAGCTCCGGGGAAGCCAGGGCCTGGTTCAAGCCCCCGCCACACGGGAGCTGCCCGACAGATGTCTGCCAAAGGAATGAATAAAAAGGAGTAAAATCTCGCCTGTTTCTCTTTCTGAGTCCTGGCCTGTCGGTGCAGAGGTGTCGGACCCTGCCTGGGGGGTGGACAGAGGTGAGGAGGGGCTGGAGCCTCTGAACTCAGAGGCAAAGGGCACAGCCCTCATAGGCCTGGGGAGGCCCCAGCTGATCTCTGGCATTGGGGCCACCGAGGAATCAGGCTTCCCAGTAGGGCTGGGAGTGGGTTTATGTGGGGTGGGGGCCCCACCCCCATAACTGTCACCCACCAACCCCCTGACAGGTCCGAACCAGGCAGCCACAGCCCTCAGCCAAGTGCTGGGGTGGTGGCCGCCCGAGGCCGGGGCATTGCATATGGGGTCTTCAGAGCAAACTGTGCACACCTTTGTCCCTTAAAGTTACCCCACCCTCCACCAGGACTAGGGCCCAGGCTGAGGAAGGAACCGGCTTCAAACCCAGGGGCAGACTTAAGTCCAGAGGGTGGGGATGCTGTGTACCAGGCACCCCATTCCATCAGGGGACCCTGGCAGCACCCGTGCCGGGAAAGTGTGTCTTACCTGGATTGGTGGAGAAGGACATGGGGACCCAAACTGGGGGCAGTCCAAGGCCTCGCCCAGAAGGGCCTGAGACCCAGCCCTCTGCGACGGCAAAGTGCACGTGCTGTGCGCCGCGCCGTGGAGCTGCGGTGCGCCCCCCAGGCCCCTGGCCGCCTCGTCCCCGCCTCCCCGTCCGCACAGCTATGCCCTGTCTCACCCTCGGAGTCACCTGCGAGGGAGGCACTATGTTGTGCGTGCTCATTTCACAGATGGGGAAACTGAAGCTCAGAGAGGGCAGCCTGGGTTCAAAGCCCCGCTCCACCGTTTGCACGCTCGTGGCCTGGGGCCAGTCCCTTCAGCTTCCTGGCCTCCGCGTGCTCATGGTCCGGTGTGGGCCGCCATGGTGATCACCACACGGAGTCACACGTGTGACTGCGTCCCGGATGCTGAGAGCAGGGATGAACAGTCCACGCATGCTGGGTGTCGGGGTTATCATGATCCTCACTCCAAGATACACGCATGTTGTGTGTGTGCACATGCGCGCACGCACACACACACACACACACACACACACACACACAGAGTGAGCTCCAGAGACAGCTGTAGGAGAGGAGGCTGAGGCTGGAAAAGCCAGGGCACATCGCCTGGGGTACGGCGTGTCCTCTGGCCACGGCGGCCATGGGTGGCCGGCAGACAGACAGACAGACAGACAGACTGCCCCAGCCTGGGAGAACCACCTCAAGGCCTCTGCGGCCTTGGCCTTGTGTCCTGTACACAAAGGCAAGGGAAGCTCGGTGTTTGTTTTCCTGGGCCAAGCGGCACATTTTTAGCTCCTCAGTCTCCAGACAAGGAAGAGGATGTTTGGACGGGGCGGCTCTGATCTACCTGGCCTGGAAGCCGGCTGGACATGGAGCGAAGCCCCCCAGGGTGAGGGGAGCTGGGCCGCTCCAGGCTGGGTGATGACCCCGCCGGGATCTCGTGATGGGCGAGTCCAAGCTCATTCTCACTGCACCCTCTGCGGCTCACCTGCCGCAGGGGACATCCGAGGTTCAGAGGTGCTTGAGTCTGCCCCTCGGGCACTGCAATAACGGTGACGCCCTCTTCCACAGCGTTCGCCGGTGCCGGGTGCCTTGCCTGAACGGACCGCCATGAGGGAAGGACAGCGATTATTCCCCTTTTATCAGCAACGGACCGAAACAGGCTGAGTCCTTGCCCTTTTCCCAGAGGGCTGGCGCTCCCCTGGTGTTCAGACCCGAGGACGGGGCCCCGAGGCTCACAGAGGGACACCAGTGCATCCAGCACCACCCAGCAAGGAAGTGGCAGTGCCAGGATTTGAACCCTGGGCTGTGGTGACGAAGCCCACACCCTCGCCATCTCCCTGTCACGTGATTCCTCCCCACGTGGCCTGGGTCCGAGCAGGAGGCAGTGGGCCCCACAACCCACCCACCACCCCAGGGCGAGAACCCATGCGCAACCCCCCAGGCGGGAAGCTGGGTCGGGGGCCCGAGTTAGCCAGCCCAGGGGGTCCTTGCCGCCATGTTCTGAGGATTTGGCTGGCGACTCTGGAAGGGACGGGGCAGGAGGGAGAGAGGGGCAGATGGGCAGTAGCAGCCCCTCTGTGGGGAGGGTATGGGTAGGCCCCCGCCAGAGTTCCAGAGGAAGTGTTTGTAACTGCAGGGAATGTGACGGGCCTGGCGAAGGCATGGGACGCCAGCCGCAGTGTGAGTGTGACCGATCTTTCATCCCCATTCCTAAGAGCAAGTGTGTGCGTGCGCTCACTGTGTCGGCAGCTTGCTCCAGGCCCCTCAGGAGTGTTAACTCCGATCAGCCTCCCAACGTGCCTGCAGGAGAGGAGCCGTGGTCACCCTCCTTTCACAGAGGGGGAACCAAGGTCTGGAGCAGCTTTGCAAGATCGAGGAGGATGAGTGAGGGCAGAGCTGGGATTTGAACCTGGGCAGCCTGGTGCTGGCATCCCTCGACCTCTATGCCCACCTGTCAGGCCAGGCCACGACGACAGCACGCAGGCTCACCGGGGCCCCAGCCGCACTCACCCACGAGTTTTAGTGAGCCCCACCCTGTCTGGGAAGGGCCCTGGGGTGAAGGAGCCCCCTCTCGCTGTAATGAACAGCGACCCACCCTGCTGGGCGGACGCCGGGCAGGGGCCCCTAGAGGCTGCTGGAAGGAAAGGCAGGTGGAAGGTGCAGTGGCCTGCAGCCTCTGCAGGTAATCCCGTCCCTGTCCTCCTCCCCAGCTCATCCTGCACCCCAAGTCCTCACTTCCCGCTGCTGTGAGGGAGCTCCCCTTTGGGAGAAGATCGGACACAGCACCCGTGTCCAAACCTCTGCCCCACAGTATAAGCCAGGGTTGTGTGGAGGGGACATCTGAGGTTCAGAGGTGTCGTGTGACTTGCCCAAGGTCACACAGCGAGTCGGGGTCGGGAATGGGGAGACACTCGGTTCTGCCATGTGCAGGGACCCCGGCCCTCCTCTGCGGGAAGTGTGTTCAGAAACGAGGGAGGGGAGGCGGTGGCTGGGAGGGAAGGGGTCTGGGGGAGGCTGGGCTTCCGGAGGAACAGACGGTGGCTCATTTCCCCCCAAATCACATCGTACTCGTGCTGTCCCTGGAGTGCCCTTCACGCCCCTCTCCCACCCCTCTCACCCTCTTCCTCACCACGCCCGCCTGCCCCCAGGGGAGCTTTCCCCAGGGCGGGTCCCGAAAGTAGCAAATCATCCCTTCCCACCACTACCTGGAGGCCCCTCGAGGATTTTTCCCCGTCCTGGGTATGTCTTAGGTCCTCATCAGGACTGTAAGCTTCTCAAGGGAAGGGCCAGGAGCTTGTGCAAAGGTTTAGATTCATGGACAAGGACCCTGTAAACGCTACAGGCCTGGCTTTGAGACCTTGCTGCTCCAGTTTCTGGCTGTGCGTCCTTGGGCAGGGCATTGACCTCTCTGGGCCTCAGCTTGCACGTCAGCAAGCCGGGGCGACCACACTGGCCTTGTAGGGATGCGGTGGGGGTCGGTCGTGGGCAAGACGGCGCAGCCCAGCGCCTGGCACAGTCCAGAGCACAGTCAGGACCTACACTGCTGCCCCCCGGGGAGTGTGGCCCACTGACCAGCCGCTCTGCGCCTGGGAGCCATCAGCAGCGCACAGCGTCAGGCCAGCCGGGGACCTGCTGCATGTTCCCCGGGCCCTGGGGCTGCGCGTGCGCAGGAGAGAAGCCCGGACCTAGAGGGCAGAAAAGCAGCAGCCGGGACTTCATACGGCTCCAGCTACCACCTCGGCCCTGGCTCCCCGACAGTCCAGGCAGAGCAGAGGACACTGCCCCCATTTCGCGGACAAGAAAACCGAGTCCTGGAGGTGATTGAGGCAGATTGGAACCGGTGCCTCGGACATCAGGGCCGCACCTGCTGGAGTGGCCACCCCAGGCCTGCCCGGGGCTGGGCTTGGAGGAGCAAAGCCCAAGACCGCAGTGCCCTCCTCTGCGGAGGGATCCCGCCGCCAACACATTGCGGGGAGCGTGTGCAGACAGGCCCTGCCCGCTACGCCGGGGTCGTCCTCACACCGGATTGTGTCTGAGTTACTTTGCCAGCTCACCTCTCCAGAGCCCCCTGCCCTCGCCACGCTCGCGGGCCGAGGCATGCAGGTGGAAGACAGAAAGACGGAGACAACTGTACAAACACCCTCGGGTGGCGCTTATGTAAGGCAATAAGCAAACAGAGGGCAGCCCAGCGGGGTGACTAACCATCTTAACAGTAACTACCGCGGCGGCGGCGCTGGGCAGAACGCTCCTTGGGCGAACATGCGCCCCTGGCCAGGGGGGGCGCGAACCTGCTGACGCCAGGGCCCTGTCACCCAGGGTCCCGGGGGGAGCACACAGCCCAAGGAAACTGGGCCGCCCTCTTCCCACTTCTTCTTCCCTCCCCCTCATTCTTCTCCTCTGGGCCCTGACCAGATCTCCGTCATTCATCCTTGGATGCAAACAGTGCTAAGGAGCCCGGAGTGTCCCATCCGCCCGCCTTGACCACATCCCAGCTGTTTGCCCCTGGTGAGTCCCTGCCCTCTGGGCCACAGATGAAGACAATTCTAGAACCTCCCACGTTTTGGCGATCTAGTGACTGAATGCAGGTGCGTGGCACACAGCGCTGGGGAAACAGGAGCTGCGGTTCCAGCACCACCCCTGCCCCCCCCGCCCCGCCCCGCGGGCCAGGAAGTCTCCAGGACCTGCCGTGGAGGGAGTGACCGCTACCTCACTCCAGATGGGGAAACTGAGGCTCAGGGGAAGACACTGACTTTCCTAAGAGCACCTGCTGGTTAGAGCGGGAGCAAAGTCAAATTTGAGCTTGAGGTCACAGGGCTCCCGGGACAGTGCTCGAGGGAAGTGGGGAAAAAACAAGTAGGTCAGGGAGGCCGACCCCACCTCAAGTCCCACCCACCTGGAGGGAGACCTTTTCTCTTGTGGCTTCTGGTGGG